TAACAAGCAAACTCATCAGGTTTCATTTTTCTGAAGGAAGAAGAAACCCCCCCAAATATAAGAGCATATTATACCTACAATCCTAGAAAATGAAGACAGGGAATTTGGGATTAAATGCAGAAAAGGAAGAAATGCAAGGCACACTTCTTCAACACTGCCTTTTCTAACAAAAAATAAAGCCTTCCATGTACACTAAGAAAAAGAAAAGGCCTACTAAATCATATACTGAATGTACAATTTACCCTCTGGGGACAAAGTGAGTGAGAATGAACCACACGGGACAGATGTTAGTCAGATTGCTTAATGCATTAATGGGGAATCTCTCACATACTACAATGAGGAAGATAACCTATACTAGGGGTAGCCAACCTGTGGTAGAGTGGCCACAAGTGATGTAGCCAGTGTGTGTGTGGCAAATGGCAAATCAGGGAGGAGACAAACAGCTCAGTGACAGATAAGACAGGGAGCAAGCAAATAGCAAACCAGGCAGGGAGCACAGGGCACAAAGCATAAAGCAGAGCAGCAGAGCAGGTAGGGAATCAGAGTAGGAAAGGTGCAGGGCTATTTGTGGAACGCCAGCCAAAAAAGGTTGGCCCCCATTGTACTAACCTATAGTATGCTAGAACAGTAGAAGCACATACTTGTGCAGATGGTGACCAACAGGTTTGGGTGGAACAATACAGTGAAGAAAAGACTTCATTTATTACAAATTGTTAGATTAAAAAACAAAACACGGGACAAAATGCCATATTCACAAAAAGCTTTGCTGACTTACAATGAAGGTTACTCAAATGCATTGCCTTTCAATAAAATAATTAGCGAAGTCACCAGTAGTCACAATATCGGCTCCTCGCCTCCTGTACAAACTTCTCTTCCCTTAAATCATGTAGACTCTCAAAATATAAATTCCTGGGAAAAAGCAAAAACAACTTAAAAAAGCAAAACACACTCCAATCCCAGATTTTCCTTCACTATACTATTTTTATCTTGAAGGGGCAGAGTTCAGGTTGTAGCTTTGACTGCGATTGTCAGAAATTGCATGTGCATAGGTGGTTGCATGTTGGGGGTGAAGAAAAGCTTGTTTAAAAGTGAAGAGCATGTGAGTTTAAGTGTTAGGATGTTTGGGTAGCAAGGCATGTCAGTGGTGTGATTAGACTGGATACACATATCGTCTTAACCAAAGGTTTTCATGTATTCTAATGCTATTGTGTTAACAGGGATTTCACTTGAGCAATCTTAATTCTGAATTAAATTGTGTGAAAGGATTTATTAAAAAGTCTCTGGACGGGGGTTCCTCTTTAACTACTTTACAGATCCACACCATAGCATTTGCTATGTCTTGAAGATATATTTATTATGCCTGTGTAGAAAATATCAGTTTATAGTGCTATTACCCTGAACATAGGGAGATTGCCCTTAAAAATAGGATGACACAAGGGGTTAAAGATTCCCTCTCCCAGCTCATATAAAAATGTGTCCCCCATATGATCTCAAGGCAAATATCTTTTTTTCATCACAAATTCGCTAGTAAATAGTCATGTAAAATCTTGTGTAAATAACCAATGTCTATGTGCACACGTTTCTCTCTCTCTCCTTTCCTACATTAAAAAAAATCATTCATGTTTTCCCTTGTAACTATACTAAAGTGCACGTATGGAGAGTTCTTCCTGGTTATAAGGGATAAATATATACTTTAACATTTGGTACAAACCCTAGTGCATGTGTGTATGTACAAGGCACACTTGGATCAAGACAAGAAACAAATGAGAATTGCAATGCAGGACATTTACTTTTTTTCTTAGGGAATCCTGCAATTTTTTCTTGCCAGTAAAATTTCAGGGAAACCCTGTCTTGGTGAAGCACAATTCATTAATGCTAATGCTGAATATGTTAAGGACTATTAGAACATCTAGTCTATTATATAAAAATGAAAGCTAATCTAAATATGGAGTCTGAAACAAAATTCTATGACCTTTTTATTTGGTAGATTTCTTGCTGACTTCATTTTGCTGCTCTGCTTACCCTACATTTTGCAGAGGCTGGGGAAAAACAGTAAGAGACCATTATAAAAGGTAGGACACAAACAGTGATTACATAGTACCATCTAGGGTCTGAGATGGTTATGACAGCAATGAGATGATTTTCTGGATCTTGGTACGGAGAAGACTTATACAGTTGGTTAAAAAAACCCAACCCAAAACAACAACAAAAAACAAACCACAATATTTATTCTGTATTGTCTTTATTCTGTCACCACAATAGTGATATTCTGAGCTATTTTGGTAAATAGAGCACTTCTACCCCCATCCAACAGGCACACGTCTCCTGACAATTTTGCAGCATACATACAGTTCTCATAATGCTTCATTATCCCATTGCCAATCCCTCCATAGGAAATGGACTGAGGTAGCAAATAGCTGAGTTTTATTTAATCCTCTTGGCAATTTGGATACTTTGATCCTTCAGTTCTTCATCATACAAATTAGTGAAAGCATATTTTTCTTTGATACCGTAGATAGGCCTATGCATATGGCTCAGATTGTGATACTACTTTCAATTTGTTGCAGCATTTGGCAATGTTTTGCTATCAGTTTTGGCTCAGTCCCAGCACGTGTAGTTAGGGCAAGGGCATGACTACAAGAAAAATAGGCAAAATACCCACCTAGATAAGGGAGCCAAATTTACCTAAGATGTCTTTCTTCCCTTCATGCACCAGCTACTAGGCCTGTGCAAAGCAGCTAGTATTCACTTCGGATTTGGATTCAGCTGATTTGGGGGACAGTGATTTGATTTAGTGATTCAAATCACTGTCCTGTATCAATTTGGCTGAATCTGATTTGGAGATTTGGCTGCTGCCGAATCAACTGAATCTCTGAATCACACAGGCCCCATCCCCCACCAGCTCTATCATCCCTGCCCAGCCCGAGCTCCCAGCACTTTGAAAAAAAAAAGCCCACACTCACTGGCTCCTGCCAGGGGTGGGGGGCAATCCTCACTGCCCCCCACTGCCCCACGCCATGTGGGGGGCTCTGCCACAAGCTCAGGGGGGTTGGGGGAGCAGGCAGGGGATGGGGCCTGGCAGGGGGCCCCCCATGCTTCCCCCTCAGCTCCCCCCCTCCC